TATGGAGCTGATATTATTTTTGAAATAAAGGACTGAGATGAAGAAGACGAGTCTGAGGAAGTGGGAAGATGAATAGGGCCAGTGGAGCGAAAGTGGGAAATTAGAGAATTAAGCCATGGCGGAGGAGCTAAATACAGAATTAAATTAAATAACACTTTAATTAATACTACTACTACCAATTATTGCTTACCTCAGAAATAAATAGTTGTGACATTTGATCAGAATTCTTAGTAACAAATTGTTTGAGAACAACAGTTTCCTCCTTCACATCCTCATCTTCTAAATAGTGGCAGTATAAACTGTTCCATAACCACCAGATTAAGATCCAATTTTTTTAATTTTACCAAAATTACCAAAATTACTGTACTGCTGTACTTAGTATATTCATTAAATTGTATAAGACTAAATAATATTTCTGAGTAGATGGCTCCCAAGTGACTTATCCAAACATTGGGTATTCCTGAAATACAATTGATATTAAACAATATTTTTATACTTACTATTACTCCTTAATATTAATATTAATATTAATATTAAACGTTTCTCTTATTAGAAATCTAAAAGATTTCAAAACTACGGATGGTCACCTGACTGTCTCGTGAAAATTACGACATTAATATTAAGCGATTACGGAGGTCAAAAGAGTACGCAGGGCTTATTACTGTATTATAGCGTCCTTCATAACACACACACCATAACACACCCGCGCCCGTTATATAATACACATACGACAACAGTCATAACACACCCGCGCCTGTAATATAATACCGCAAGTATCGCGAGGAACTTTTATTCACAAACACAACACCATCATAATATATACTCCGTTATATATATAATACACACGGCACCGTCATAACACACACTCGCCCGTCATATAATACACGGTGGACCGGTATTTCTATTTACCCACCGTATTTCCAGCGCAATGAACAACACCGCAATATGTGCCACTGTAATACGGTTTCATACTGTTGATATTGGAGGAAAGGGACTCGACATTACTCATCCTCCTACGCCCATCTATTACCCGCCAACTCCGACTAACCGGCCTGTGCCCACACGACGTATAAGGAGCTACTCGACATGCCGGCGTTTGTATATTCACAGGAGGACATCGACAGCCACCTGATCGCAGAGACAACTGCAACACCAATTACTCATCCTCCTACTCCTCCTACGCCCATCTATTACCCGCCAACTCCGACTAGTACAACTGCTGGACTTTTGAGTAACCGGCCTGTGCCTACACGACGTATAAGGAGCTACTCGACATGTCGGCGTTTGTATATTCACAGGAGGACATCGACAGCCACCTGATCGCAGAGACAACTGCAACAACACCTATTACTCATCCTCCTACGCCCATTTATTACCCGCCAACTCCGACTAGTGTCGGCGTTTGTATATTCACAGGAGGATCCCCCATCCCTGCGTGGAGCAGCAGCCCCTCGGAATAGAAATCACATTCATGATAACACAGACAGTGCTCTTTGCGAGTCATTAATCAAGTCCCCTCTTCCCCGACGAAAAAACAAAAACAGTTAATATTGCGTTGCGGACCGCGGCGCCCTAAATAATTAGTATTGGTTGCGACTCACGACCTATGTAATAGTCAAAAGGTTGTGACCCGCGACCGATGGATGTAAATGAAAAAAAAAAAATAATAAATGCGTACAATGTCTATAAGAAAGCTATACTATTATTACTATCACAAAAAAAACTAAATTACATGTTGTTAATACAAGTGGCTCTCGATATAAGAACGTAATCAGGCTCTAGCAAATTGCTTTCTTATATCAAGAGTCACTCATTATGCTATTTTTGTTCCATATTAATATATCCGTCTAGAGTTATTTGCATTTTGCATTTAATACTGTCATATTACTATACTATGTGTTTTTTAAAATGGCATAATCTTTGAATAAAAGATCCTGATTGATGATAAAATGGAGAATATTATTGATGTTACTGATAACTTCATTATGAAAAATACTTTCATCATACTCCTCTTCTTCTTCATTTATCATTATCTAATTTGTGTGCTTCTACATATACAAAGTAGGTCTGGGTAAATTTGATACACTTATTCTCTTCCTTCTCAGCAAAGAAGACAAGCTTATCTTCATACATTAAGGCAATATTCCTTTTTTCCCATTCATCATTATATAATAATAAAGAGCTGTTAATATTAATATAAGAAAACTTGGATTATACCATGAACTAGTGAATGTATCTTTATCTCCTCATAGTAATAGTATTCCTTTAGTTCAATATTAATATTAATATTGAATGCTTGAAAAAACAAACAGCTGTGATCTTCATTTCAAGTACATGACATGCAAGAGGCAAAATAACAGTCAAGGGATCCATGAGCATCTTATTATTATGTGAGGACAATGAACCAGCAAATCTGATGTATGGACCCAGCACCTAAAATAATATATTAGATGACTAGTTCAATATAAACTCATATGCACAATGTACCAGCATAATTAGGAGACAAGGTAGACTGGACCATGGATATTGATCCGCCTGTTCCTGAACAAAATTGACATAATATATAGTTGGCAATTTGTCAAATGAATTACCCTAGAATAACACTAATATAGTAATAGTATATTTCGTCATATAACATGTCAACTGATTAAGTTTGCTTTGAGCAAGTGTATTAGTACAATTATATGTAAATAATTGGTATAGTCATATAATAATAATTATACACTCACTGGACAAAAGTCTACGTAATTTTTGTCGATCACATAGTAAAACATATGAAAAATCTATTTTTTC